ATGCATATATGCATATATCTATATATGTGCATGTATGTTTAACTCAGAACAGTGAGTGAGCTTATTAAGCAGAAGTAATAAAACAGAGAGAAGCCAAGTACAGTGCACACTTGCAACCCTAGCACTTGGGAGGTGGTAGCAAGAGAATCATGAGTGTGATGCCAGACAGGGCTACACAGCAAGACTTGCCTGAAAAAAAGAATAAGGCAAGGGGATTCAGGACCCACCATGTACAAAGATCCAAGGAGAGGGGGTAGTATGCATTCATTAAAAAAAAAAAGGTAGTGAGAAACAACAGTCACATATATAAAGGGGGAGTGAGAAGAATGTTACAGAAAAGAAAGCTATTCACTGCATCTGAACATCAGAGTGACCACAAAGCATTTCTACTTAAAACTTCTCATCATTTTCATTCTTTCTTGTCTGTTCCTCTGGTTGGATTTACTCTTTCTTAACTATTTTAGTACCTAGTTGACTGTATTATAGCTGTAAAATTAAAGAGATTAAAAAGCACTTTGAAATTGAGCTCTGGTGGCTCACAACTCTAATGTAGCTATTTAGGAGGCTGAGATTTGAAGGACTGTGGTTTGAAGCCAGCCTGGGCAGAAAAATTGAAACGTTTCCATCTTTAATAAATGAACAAAATTTGGAATTGGAGACATCACTCAAATGATAGGGCACCAATCACAAACAAGAATGACAAGGAGGCTGGGTGCTGGTGGCTCATGCCTGTAATCCTAGCTACTTAGGAGGCTGAGATTTGAGAATCACAGTTCAAAGCCAGCCCAGGCAGGAAAGTCTGTGAGACTCTTATCTCCAAATAACTGCCAGAAAACCGGAAGTGGTGCTGTGCCTCAAATGGTAGAGTGCTAGCCTTGAGCTGAAGAGCTGAGGGACAGTGCCCACGTCCAGAGTTCAAGTCCCATGACCGACAGGAGAAAAAAAAAAGAATGACAAGCAAGCATTAGCCCTGAGTTGAAGCCCCACTACCACCAAAAAAATAAAAGAAAAAGAAGAAACAAATAAAGAAATTCATAATGAAATAAAATGTGTTGCAATTTGTCAAAGCTGAGTGGTGAAGTATGGAGGAAAATATAAAGTGAATGTCTGTAAATGTATAGCTACAAATGCTGATTGATACAGACATGTGGTTCCTGGTATCTCAAATATCCAAGAGCAGCATTTGGGTTGGGGATGGGGCTTTTTAAAATGTTAAACATTCTGGGTAAGATTCTGAAGAAAATGTAAGATCTTATTTTGGTTTTCATTGGAGTTGTATTCCTGAAAAATCAGGGTACATTAAAACTTGCTTATATGTACTTAAAATGGAATTAATACAAATTGATTTGCCTATATAAGCTTACAACAGGATATTAAAAAATGTTTGGGATATAGAAACATTCCTCATTGCATGGACTAGTCCACATATTGCAGGACTAAATTTATAAACAAGCACAAGCACAATATGCCAAGAAGCCCTGCAATCACTATGCTGAACACATTTCACAAATTTTTAAACCATACCCCCAGGAGTGTAGCACCTCCATTGAAAACCACTACTAGTCACATCCAAAGGAGAAAAGAAATAATACTGTTATGACTGTAACTGCCTCTAACAAGCAGGACTATTTCTTTCTTAGTTATAAATTCTTTCCTCCTACATCATCACTCCTCTTTTTCTTATTTTCAACCAATATATTTGAACATTTTTCTACCAACATTTTTAATTTTTAATTTTTTTTGCCAGTCTGGGAACTTGAACTCAGGGCCTGGACACTGTCCCTAGAGCCTCTTTGTGCTCAAGGTTAGTGCTCTACCACTTGAGCCACAGTACCACTTCTAGCTTTTTTGGGGGAGGGGGGCGGGGGTCTGGTCGTGGGGCCTGAACTCTGGGCCTGGGTGCTGTCCCTCAGCTCTTCAGCTCAAGGCTAGCGCTCTACCACTTGAGAACCATTGCGCCACTTCTGGTTTTTTTCTTTTTGCTTATGTGGTGCTGAGGAATAGAACCCAGGGCCTCATGCATGCAAGGCAAGCTCTCAACCACTGAGCCACCTTCCCAGCCCACTTCTAGCTTTTTCTGAGTAGTTTATTAGAGATAAGAATCTCATGAATTTTTCTTCCCAGGCTTGATCTGAACCATGATCCTCAGCCTCTTGAGTAGCTAGGATTACAGGTGTGAGCCACCAATGTACAGCTCCTGCCAATACTTTTTATATCCCTTGGCTGCTAGTTTTTATACTATCTAATTTTTATCTTTCCTACTCATCTATTTCCTACACATGGTATGCATTAGCTAGTCTCACTGTGCTAATTACTTTTTGACCCATTACAATCCAGCTGACTTAGTGAACAAATAAATGAATAGTTTTCAACACTGCACCCTTTACCTTTACCATATATGACATTACTGCTTAAAATACAGCATCAAACATCCAAGTTCTCCTTTCATCCTATTTCTTCTCTCTCTAGGCAGTCTTTAAAAGTTGGCTAGCCCCTGAATTCTCTACAGCTCATCATTGTTTCTGTATTTTTGGAGTATTTAATTAACTCTTCTGGTTTCAACTAGCATCTCTACTTGCTTCTTAATTGAATTATCTGGCCAAAACTTCTACACTCTCAGATCCTTTACCTGCTTACCAGGAGCCCCTACCTAGCTATCTTGGTTAAAATATTAATAACCTATTCTTGTATTCTATATCTCAGATAAATGTTTTTACTTAATACTGGAGCCAGAAATTTGAAACCAATCCTTTTTACTCTGTTTCTCTTACAAGATCCATCTTCTGGCAAGTTTCTTTGGCTAGGCCATCGTCCCCAGCCAGTAATTTAATCAAACACTAATATAGGTGTTGCTGTGAAGCTGTCATGTAGATATAATTAACATATATAATTTGTTGACCTTGGAGTGATTTTCCTAGATAATCTATGTCAGCCTTAAACTTACCACAGCACACAGTTTTCATATACATGCTCTAGCTTATTATAGTGCTAGCTTTTTCTCTCTGCTCGAAGAAGCTATATGATTTGTAGATTTAGGCACCATCACATACACCCCTTCCCCAAACAGACTATCTTGAACTCAAAAATTTTGGTCATGATATTCTCACTATTTAACATTCTCTCTTATTTGCCCCTTTACCATACTTACTTTATATAAAGACTCCTTTTTGAATGACTCAGCTCACACACTGATCTACCTAAGAAATCACTCTTGGTACTTTTAATCTATGTGATATATAGTTTCTTATGTTCTCTTATGTAGTTTGTGCTAATCTTTACCAGTATAATTTATCAGACCAGTTTATAAAGGTCTTGAGTGAGTTAGCTATCTTGTTTTTGTAATCTTGGCACCTAGAAAAATGCTTAGAATTTAATTTGATTGGTTGAATGAACAAATGGATGATCATATACTAGATATCAGGTTATGGCTGGCTGTTATAGTGAAATCTGTAGTAGAATCTAAGGATCAGATCAGCCAAAGATGTCCATACCATAATTCTCAGAACCTGTGATTATATTATTTTACAAAAGAAGGGGAATTTTGCCACTGTGATTAGGTTAAGGATTTAGGAAGGGAGAAGCCCTGTTGGCATTACTTGGCTAGCATACTCTAATTACACATGTACTTTAAAAAACAGAGGACGTTTTCCTGGCTGACACTGAAAGAGATATGAGGGGAAAAAGGAAATTCTAATTCTAAGTTTAAGAGGAACTGATTTTCGTGTTGGCTTTAAAGATAGTAAAAGAGGTACCACAAACCAAAGAATCAGTAGGCAGCCTCTAGAAGCTGAGAAAAGCAGACAGCTAGTCTCTAGCCAAAAAAACAGGGGTCTTAGAACTACAGCTACAATTAAAAGAATGTTGTCAGCAGCTGATTGAGCAGGACATAGAATTTCCCCTAGAGCCTAAGAAATAAAGCCAACCAACTCTTTTAACTTCACCCAGGACTTTTGACCTCTATCAGTATAAAATAAATGTGTTAATTTGAGCTCTTGAATTTGTAATAAATTTATTATGGTAGCAATAGAAAACCAATCAAGAATTCACACAAGAAAAGCTGGGGTAGTTCTAAAGAGAGACAAAGTACGTAGGTGATATGACAGCAGGTTAAGGAAGTAGAATTATTGAGAAAAGAATTTGCCAGGTGCTGCTATCTTACAACCTGTAATTCTAGCTACTTAGTAGGCTGAGATCCAGAAGACCATAGTGTGAAGCTACCCCAGGCAGAAGAGATCCAGCCAAAAGCTGGGCTAAAGATGTGGTTCAACTAGCAGAGTGCCCACTGAACAAGCAAGCTTGAGCAAGCACAAAAACCCTGAGTTCAGGTTCAAACCACAATACCAGAAGAGAGAGGACAGACAAAGAGAGAGACAAAGACAGAGAACCAAGTTTCTTTTGCTAGTACCAGGGCTTAAACTCATTGCCTTGTACTCTCACTCAACTTATTCACTCACAGCTGACAATCTACCATTTGAGCCATACCTCCAGCTTAGATTTTTGCTGGTTATTTTAGAGATGGAGTTTCTTGAACTTTTCTTCTCAGCCTGGTGTCAAACCAAGAGGATTATAGGCATGACCTACCATCATTGCTCAAATTAACCTCTTAAAAGTGATCAATCTGAGGCAGTCCAGGCCAAAAAGTCCAAGAGACTATCTTTAATTAACTAGCAAAATGCTGGGCTCAAGGTTTGGCTCAAGTAGTAGAGCACTAGCTGTTAGCAATAAAGGTAAGCAAGTGCTTGAAGCCCTGAGTTCAAGCCCTTTGTAAGAGCACAGAAAAAGAAACTTATTTTACAGTAACAACATAAGCTTTAAGGGAGCAAAAAGTAACTAAAAGTATCACCTTGCAGATTACACTATCCCTAGGTGTCAATGCTATGATATCATATAGGAAAAGATTAAATTTTTTCATTAGTGCTAACTTTTTGGTTACTTGGCTCGTCATATTTAATGTGTCAAAATTCCTCCTCATCAAAGCACAATTTTCACAAAGACATTACCTTTAAAATCACAACCTCCAAGCGTAGAACATCAGAAAAAGCAGAGTAGCATTGTAAATTAATCTTCATTGTCTTCACCAGGTAAATTATTTTACAAATGCACCAGGGAAATGGAGTCATACTGCAATCCCTCAAAAACTGAAAAATAATAAAAGGTGAAATCATTTTTTTCTGTTACAGTTCATCTCTTTTTCCAGTGACCTCTCCAAATCCTCCTGCTGTACTCTTTCCCCATTTTCATGATATATTTCTATAAGATGGTTGTTACATTAGAAAGTGTGTAGTTCCTTATAGAATCTGAAACCAAACATCCTGAATTCAAATCTCATTTCAGCTACATGGTATACTATAATTTGTGGCAAGTTATAACCTTCTCTTGGTCTACACCAACCTCATTGGTCGAGTTGTGATTAAATAAATTAAAGCATGTGAAACCCATTAGGACAGTTTCTCACACATACAAACATCTTCAACAAATATTGGCTACTAACAATTTTCAATGATTAGAATCACTACGGAAAAATCATATGGCTCCTGCACATCTTCAGCTAAAGAACCTGATCCGATTTCTAGGCTCTCCCTAGATCCTGCACCAACACACCCAATTAACACTTTTGATAGAGGTAATACTTAGGGGACTAAAGCTCTGTGGAATGAAAAGGATTTCTTTTTTTTTTTTTGGGGGGGGGTCCAGTTGTGGGCCTGAACTCAGGGCCTGGGTGCTGTCCCTCAGTTCTTGAGCTCAAGGCTAGCGCTCTACCACTTGAGCCACAGTGCCACTTCCGGCTTTTTCTGCTTATGTGGTGCTGAGGAATCGAACCCAGGGCCTCATGAATGCAAGGCAAGCACTCTACCACTGAGCCACCTTCCCAGTCCCTGAAAAGGATTTCTTTTCTTGAACACTAATATCCAGGGCCTCCATGGTTGCCAATGTTATCTCCCTATTCACTGACTCTTTTACTCAGAATACCTATTTCACTTTTTTTTTTTTTTTTTTTTGCTTTGTACTAAGCCTTGGTCATCTATCCTCTACACCTTCAAGAACAAGAATGTTGACCTATTGCAAGAACTCCATAAATGTTTACTGTGAGGATACACAACATCTCTCCTTTGGATTGTAAAGATCTGAGACTGAGGTCAAATTTCATTTATTTCATATTCCATGAAGCTCACTTAAATAGGGGGTTGCTTTTCTGATAGTAAGAACTAGATTTCTAAAACACAAATAATACTCCTTACTTGAAAGTATTGTATGCTTTTTTTACTGCATAATTCTTAGTATAACACTCTCTCTTCATCCCCTAGTCCTCAAAGATTCACAATGAAAACCAGGCAGTTTTCAGAACAAGCCTGACTTAGGGCTTTTGTTCCGGTAACTCTAGGCCTAAAAAAACAATCATCCCCCTCAAATGACACATACCACTCAACCTTTAAGGTGCACCCAAATTCCTTCTTTCTCTTTGATAGCAATGACTTGGCCCATCCTCTCTGCTTCCTAAATACCTTGAACAAGCAAATGTTATGTCTCTTGGGTTTGATGATCACTTTTAGCCCTTTTTTCTTATTAAACTTTCTCACCTTTAGACAGACTCCCCCCTTAGCACAGTGCTGGGCACAGACATTAGGCTCTTCAATGCGTCGTCACCGATCTTGATCTAAGCGTTTTTAATGGAAAAATTTCAAATGTACACAAAAGTATACACTTCTCTCAGCTTAAATTTATCAAGTCATGATCATATTATGTCTTCAGCCTTGACCCATCCCCTCAAACAAATCAAAATATCCGTCTATTTCTTTAAAAAATATAACCACAATATTCACATCTAAAAATGTCAAAAGTTATTATTTGGTGTCACTACATACCATCATTTCACTAAGGATATTTTGTGAAAGCTTATTTAAGACCCTGTATGTTCTTTCTCCTATTTTGAAATTGTGGAAACAGGACCGGGGAAAGAGATCTGGGGAAAATGCATAATTAAGTTTCAGAGAGCCTGGATGTCCCAGATGAGAACCAAAGAGTCTGACCTGGTGTAGGGTAGGGGGGGGAATACATTTCACTACTTCTCCGGAGGAGGAGGGTGCGACTTCAGGCCGGCTGGTGCGGGAGGAGGTGCGGAGGGGAGTGCTGTACTACCTCCGATGGGAGTTCCTTCTGGATAATCCCACCGCGGCGCGAGGAGGCAGCGCTTTTTTGGAGGCTTGGCTTCCCGCGTGTTTCCAGGAGGGAGCGCAGAGCCCCCGGAGGCACAAGGTTGGTCCCCCATATGTGTGATAGGAGCTGGGCTGCAGCTTTCTCCGGTGGGCCCTGGCAAGGCCGACAGATCTGAGATGGCGGCGGATCCCCTCCAGGCACTGGGCTGGCTTCCTCCTGGTTTCGCTCTTGCCGTATTTCCTGTATCCTGAGACGTACATCCCCTCTCCGCCTCCACAGCGCCCGCCCTGCTCCATACCCCATCCCAGTATAACCTTTCGGCGAGGATGGGACTTTCAAAAGAGAAAGAAAGTAGAGAAAGGAAAAGAACAGAAAGCGTTATGTTTATAACAGGATGTTTCCCTACAGTGCCCCGCCTGCCAGTGTAATTAAATCTACGGAGAGGTTTTCTCCATCCTAGGCAAGAAATTCCAGTTTGCCTCTGAAATTGTCAGCTCCACAGGAATGTGTGTGAGCATCGCTCGGGTTGGAAAAAGGAAAGAATTAAATAGTTGGCACAAGATATTTACAGATAGACAACAACAAAACCAGGCAACTCGGTGCAACCATTTCCAAAGCAGTATACAAACATACTGACTAATGAAAGGAAGAGCATACTGGCTGTGGAAACTGAATGCAGAAAATGTTACCAAAGCCAGGGTCCTCCCTCCTCCCCCCCCCCTGCTTTTCTCCAGTGTTGGTCATCTTTGAAGACTAACCCTATTTCTTTTCACTTAGCAACCACAAAGAACTCTCTCAAACCTAACAGCTGATGACTGCTCCATGCTTCAATTGGAAACTTTTCTTCCTTACAACTGTGGAACATAATGACTCATCTTACTCGTGTGTTAAATTCTTTAGTGTATGCATTGTAGTGTATAAGTAATGTATAAGCTCAGAAAAAAAAAATCAGCAGAAGCTACAATGTGCCTTACAAGAAAAAATATTTTAGACTTCGTAAACTATCATTATTCAGCCTTTCTGTGCCCCTTTACCTGTGGATCCAACTAGACCATAATTTAACAGCATCAATCATTAATATCAAAAGAGAATTTACTTTTAATAAACCATACTGCTTACAAGCTTTTGGATTTTTGGTTTCCTGAGCATAATTTCTTATGTTGTCACAATTCAAACTGCTGTCACAATTAGAGATAATACATTTAAAGCATTGCCAGGAGACGGGCGCCGGTGGCTCACACCTGTAATCCTAGCTATTCAGGAGGCTGAGATCTGAGGATCGTGGTTCAAAGCCAGCCTGGGCAGGAAAGTCCGTGAAACTCATCTCCAATAAGCCATTAGAAAACCGGAAGTGGCGCCGTGGCTCAAGTGGTAGAGCGCTCGCCTTGAGCTGAGGAGTCCAGGGACAGTGCCCAAGTCCAGAGTTCAAGCCCCACGACCGGCAAAAGAAAAAAAAGCATTGCCAGAATTACCTCTTGTCTCTGTGATTTCTTTCAAGTACTCAGCACAGCCCTTTACGTAAATTAGACATTCAGTACATATTCAGGACATATTCAGGAAATAAAGCACCCTAGTTTTGCATAAGATGCTACCAATACAGAAAATGCAGGTGTTAGTAGTAATAACCAAAAGTATCTCCAGATGTCTTCGGTGTACGCACAAACTCCCTCTCCATTGAAAACAATTAGTCTAGCCTTAATCTCCAAACATGATGCTTTTCTATACATCTCTCAGGCCCTCTACCCAGGGACACATATCAAATTTTGAAGACTTTTTAATTGAAGAATATTTCATGCTTTCTTAAAGTAAATGAACATTTTTAGAATCATTTGACATGGTTCACTAAATATGCAAGGCTGGATAAATAAAAGTCTTTTAAGAATAAAAGTCAAAGTTGAAGTTGCTCAGTAGTGACAATTTTACTACATTAAGAAAAGTGTGTGCTTATTTTTGGTAGAGGAGCAGGAATTAAAATTCATATTTAGGTAATTATGATCAACACTTGACAAGGCGAAAACGCTCCCAAAGCTGTTGCAATTAACCTATTTGCATTGCACACAATGTACTTGTTAATTTTTAATGGTGGAAAAACAGACATGGAGGTGTTTTTTTCTTTTGTATTGTTGGGTTTTTTGTTTGTTTTATTTTGTTTTTGGTGCTAGGGCTTATGTTAGGACTGGGTGCTGTCCTTAGCCTTTACACTCTAGTCTAGTGGTTTGCCATTTGAGCCACAGTTCTACTTTTGACTTTTTGCTGGTTGATTGGAGATAAGAGTTTCCTGCCTAAGCTGACTTTGAACCTTGATTCTTAGATCTCAGCCTCCCGAGTAGCTAGGATTACAGACATGAACCATTAGTGACCAGTTTGTAGATGGCATTTTGAAATATGCAGGTTAGTGATGTTATACATAGTCCCATTACTCTACAATCAATCTCTTGGTCTTTTTCATATTCATTAAATCCAAGTCTTCATTTTCCATTCCCTCTAGCTCCTAGTAAGCATCATTATACTTACAACTATTTTTTCTTTGTTGTTGTTATACTACAAAAGAGAGAATTACAGTCTATATCCTTCCAGTTTTTTAAATGATTTTCCCCCATTATATTCTCCAAGCTAAAACCCTATTTTAAAGTTTAGCTTTTTTTCCTTCACATCAATAAGCGAGCTAAGTATAAGCCATATTACCAGAAGAGGGCGCTATGAGGTTGTAGGACTGTATGCCAATAGGGGATTTGCTATGTATCCACATTTCTTTTATAATTTATAGTGCTGGAAGAATCACATCATAAAGCAAAACTATATTCATTTCTTGGTGATATTTAACTGTTTTTATTTCTATTTTTTAATTGGGAAATTGGCTACTTCATTGGCACCTCTTTTGGAAATTAGCTTTTGCATCTCAAGTTCAGTAATTTTTCTCACATATGCATAAAGGATTTCTGTCTTTGTTCATTGTTCTAAATTACAAATATAAAGACAAAAGCCATGGAGTTCATGTAACTTTCTTTCTCTCTTTCGCTCGTTCCCTTTTTCTTTTGCTTTCTCTTTTTCTCTCTGCCCTTTCTTTTATCCTTCCTTCCTCCCTTCCTTCCTCCCTTCCCTCCCTCCTTCCTCCCTTCCCTCCCTCCCTCCCTCCCTCCCTCCCTCCCTCCCTTCCTTTCTTTCTTCCTTCCTTCCTTCCTTCCTTCCTTCCTTCCTTCCTTCCTTCCTTCCTTCCTTCCTTCCTTCCTTCCTTCCTTCCTTCCTTCCTTCCTTTCCTTTCTTTCTCTGCCAGTAGTGGGGCTTGAATTTAGGGGGCTCACATTCTCAAACTGGCTTTCTATCTCAAGGCTGGAGATCAACCATTTGAACCTCATTTCCACTCTGGCTTTTTGATAGGTAATTGAAGAGTATAGTCTCACAGACTTCCCTGCCCTGGATGGCTTCAAACCTTAATTCTCAGATCTCAGGCAGGATTACAGGCATAAACCACCAGTTCCTAATTTCCTATAAAGTGAAAAGGAAACTCCACAACATTTTCATTTTATTATTTTATTCAAAACATTTCACTAGGAATATTTTTAAACACTAATATATAACAATAGAAGCCTATAGCCCACCTTCCTGGATAAACTAAAAATATTCTAGAGCAGCTTAATAAATATGATAAGCAGCATAAAGTTAGGAAAACACACTGGCAAAAGTCAATTATACTATCAGTGTTTATCATTCACTTTGTTAAAGAACATCATGCAGGTCTACTATTCCCTGAATCTGAGATTCTGAAAATTATTTATTCTTAATCACAAAATCTCTGAAACATATATTATGCCAAGATTGCAGGACCCCCTTCCCTCCCCCCCCCAAGAAGACCACTGAAAGTCAGAACTCTACAGCTGTTCTATTTAAACGGGCTGCAGCTTGGGCCTACACAGTGGAGCCCAGGAGAAGAGCCCCAGCTAAGGATTTGCAGCTCTTATAAGGGCACACAAACAGGTGGTTTAGCACCATGTGTTGCTCTGCTCTGAGACAAGCAACAAATGGTCAATGCCTCAATACTCTAACCTTTCACATAGACACTTAAACTTATCAGAGACTTTAATGTAAAACTGGAAATTAATCACACATATTTCACTCTTCCTTCAAATAGTTTAGTTTCATGTAAATAACCCAGATATTCACTTTAAAGAAATAGTTCAGGGGCAGGGAAGGTGGCTCAGTGGTAGAGTGCTTGCCTTGCATGCATGAGGCCCTGGGTTCGATTCCTCAGTACCACATAAACAAAAAGAAAAAAGCCAGAAGTGGTGCTGTGGCTCAAGTGGCAGAGTGCTAGCCTTGAGCTGAAGAGCTGAGGGACAGCGCCCAAGCCCAGAGTTCAGGCCCCGTGACCAGAACCCCCCCCCCCCCGCAAAAAAAGAAATACTTCAGAAATATATCAAATGAAGCCTAAATCTTTTAAGTTGACCACTACGATCACTTTTAAGAAATTACTTAGAAAATTAAGTATATATGTGCATACACCTATCATATTTGTAAAAACAGGAAAAATAGGTCCAAGTATAACATTCAAAAAGCCAAAAACATCATGTTTATCTATAGAATAAACATCAAAATTTCATTCAAGTTACTAAGGAGGAAACCAGTAGAATGGTTAGACTATTTTTTTTTTTTACTAGTCTTTTGGGGTCATCTTTTCTACCAGAATAATTTATATTTCTACCAGACAAATCTTTGTAAGCTAACATGTAACTTTATAAACATATAATCATTAAATAGCAGATTTTAAAATAATCTATTTCAAGCCTAGCTACTTAGGAATATGAGATCTGAGGATCTTGGTTTGAAGCCAGCCAGGACAGGAAAGTCCATGAAACTCCTATCTCCAATTAACCATCAAAAAGTCAGAAGTAGAGGTAAGGCTCCAATGATAAAACAGCTTTGAGCGAAAAAACCAAGGGGCAGAGCCTGGGCCCTTGGTTCAAACTCTAGTACCAGCACAAATATAGGAATATATACACTTTCTCTGAGACAATTAAGTATTGCATAGGCCAACTCAACAATATTGCATTGAAGGGACATGGTCTTATTCCTTTGCTTTATTTTCAAGTTTTGAACACTTTTCAGAAACAGAGATATCACCTTATGAGAGAGAGGCTATTTACCTGTTGTGGCTTTGATTGTTCTTCAAACTCTAGTGTCATGAATGATGTACAAAAACAGTAT